GTAAGAAAACGCGCATGAACACCAGACAGCAACGGAGAGGAGAGGGGAGGAGGAGGACGGAGGGGGAGGGGTGCCTTCGCGGGCCCCACTAATCGACCGCGTCCGGGCACGAGTTCGGTTGTTCCAAGCAGCGTCGCTTCATCTGTTCCCTTGTTCACGTTAGGCATGCGTTTCTGGAAGACACCCCCGCTTCAACAGCCCCGAACGGCCGAAGAACCTACACACTACACAATGTCCACGAAGAGCTTCCACAACTTTCCAAAAGCGCCATCGAGAGGCTCCTAGGGAGTTCCCAGGACGCCCAACAATGGACTCCCAGGAGGCCCTCCAATGCTCCAGAGCGCCTCCCCCGTTAAGTGGACAGAAGCACTTACACACACAGCGCGGGAACCAACACGACATTTCCTTCCTTTGTCCTCCTGTGTTCTTCCCCTTCCTCTTCCCTGTTGCTGCTTCGCTCTTCTCATATCCATCTTCCTTTCCCGTCTCCTGCATGCCCGCATCTGCTCTACGGTCGGGCTCGTGGCTCGATCGGGTGCTAGAAATCCACTCACACCGTACCTCTTGGCGTGCCGTCCTGGACTCGATACGCGATCTCCTTCAGGCGAGTGGTCCGCCTCCTATGCATGCCCTCGACTGCCCTGCCGGGGGCCCGGAAGCGAGAACCCCTTCCCCAGAGCGCTGAAGCAGCGGAGGGGCAGGAGGAGGCGGGGTAGGAGGAGAACGGGGAGCAGGAGATTCAAGAAAGATTGTATCGGTGTTCCTTTTTGGGTATCCGCTGATTCCCTAGCTTTGGCAGGCGCTTGCGGTGCAGCGGTGAAAAGTTGCAAATAGCGCATTCTCAAGTGTTGCACCCAGGCCGTGAGTGCCGAATGGCAGCGGGGTTGGCTTCCATGACAGGACTCATCTGTAGTTAGGGTCGACTGAACAAAAGTCGCGCTCCATTTCGAGTGCCAACCGTCGGAGGATGGCGAATAGGACGAGGAGGAGGAGGAGGAGGATGAGCAGCAGCAGCGTATTCACAGCCGCGAAGGTGAAGATGAACCGCATGAGGCAGGCCATCGCCCGACGCTTGAAGGACAGGCTTCCTGATCATCCTCGTCTTCCTGTGCCGCCTCCGATTCCTCTACCTGCTCCCTCCTTCCTCCTTCCTCCTCCTCCGCCTCCTCCTCCGCCTCCGCCGCCTCCTCCTCCTCCTCCTCTCCTCCTCCCCTCCTCCTCCTCCTCCTCTCCTCCTCCCTCCATCTTCCTCCTCCTCCTCCTCCTCCTCCTCCTCCTCCTCCTCCTCCTCCTCCTCCTCCTCCTCCTCCCTCCTCCCTCCTCCTCTTCCGTTTCACACACAGGAGCTCCTGCCTGGGAGCGGGGCCCTTTCCCCACGCCGGGTCCGCCCTGCCGTCCTGTCCCTCTGCCGCACCGCCCCGACGGCGCCCCTGCCACGGAAGGGCCCTGGCCCCTTGGCATCGCTCGGGCGTGTGCACCATTTCTCGGCGAGCTCCTCCTCCTCCTCCCTCCTCCTCCTCCTCCTCCTCCTCCTCCTCTCCTCCTCCTCCTCCCCTCCTCCTCCTTCCCTCCTCCCTCCTCCTCCTCCTCCTCCTCCTCCTCCTTCCTCCTCCTCCTCCTCCTCCTCCTCCTCCTCCCTCCTCCCTCCTCCCTGCTCCCTCCTCCATCCTCCCTCCTCCCTCAACCCGCCTCCCTTCTCCCTGCATCATCATCGTCATCAGCATCCTCGTCATCAGCATTTCTCGGCGAGAGCCATCGCGGACCCTCCTGGACCCTCGAGCAGAAACAACAAAAAAAAAACACGCACGAGACCGACAAAAAGGCGCGGGAGATGGGCGCCCGAGCGACGGCAAGCGGCCCCCCCGCGATCCGCCAAGCATACAGGTCGGCAGGCGGGACCGCACAGACCGGCACCCATGCAACCAGCCGGTGGTCGGAGGCCACGTGCGCTCGCCCGCCCGGAGCCCGAGCGCAGGCGACCCGCAGCTGTCGCGGAGGTCGCGGGCCCGTTCGGCACACAGCGAGTGCAGACCCAGCCAGGGCTCCGGATCCGCCCTGCTTCTGTGGATTTCCGCCTTATTCTATGTTGGGTGCAGACCCTGCCCTGCCTCCAGACCCGCCCTATTTTCTGGCTTTTTTTCCAACTCAAAATTGCGTCGGAAATCCACCTCTCAGAAGCCGAAAAAGTAGGGCGGGAATTTTTCTGCACCCAACATAAGATAGGGCGGGAATCCACGGAAGCAGGGCGGAAACAGCAAAAGAAAAGTAGGGCGGAAATTGGCATCAGCGGGGTTTGAAAAGTAAGGCGGAAATTGCAAGCCCCACTTACGAATTTCCCCAAAGTAGGGCGGATCCGGAGTCAGGGTGTGGCGCCCCCGGTTGGGCTGGCCGCGAGTGGCTGCACGAGGCGTGCCGGAAAAGGGCCTCGCCGTCGAGGATCGGAGGAGTTGGCACGGCTTCCCCTCGGCAGAAGGGGCCAGCGGAGGTGAAGCGAGGGCGGCTCCGTGGGCGGAAGCCGAGGGTGGCCGGAGCGCCCGCTGGAGGGTGGGGCCGCAGCTGCTCTTCAGAGAGCCACCCTCACAGAGGTGGGGGTGCATGCGGGGCGGGGGCGGGGTAAAGTCCAGGGCCTTGCCTCTCCACACATCCTCCTCCTCCTCCTCCTCCTCCTCCTCCTCCTCCTCCTCCTCCTCCTCCTCCTCCTCCTCCTCCTCCTGCAGGATCCTGCGCACTGCACCCGGGCCAGTGCACGGTGCACCCCTGGCTCTGTCGCTGAAGGGCATTCGATCTAGAAAGTAAATAAGCTGCGCCTGGCACAGGAAGAGACCGAAGCCCGCCAGGGAGCTTCCAAAGACCGATTGGAGAGTAGTGATGAAAAGGACCCTGGAGAAGGGCCCAGCCGTGTGCAGTTGTGAGTATCGCCGTTGTAGTAATCGCTTTCGGTGGATCTCCTTATGGGGCCACGAAGCATTGGGTGTGCCGAAATGGGCGGGGCCGCATGCGGGCGCAGCCATTGGGGCCTTCGGTGGCGCTCCGTACGGGGCCACGAAACGTGTGAGGGGTGTGCCGAAATGGAGCTGGGCCGCAATGCAAATCGCCACTGGGACCTTCGGTGGAGCTCCCTATGGGGCCACGAAACGCGTGAGGGGTACGCCGACATGGGCTGGGGAAACGCATGCGAACGTCGCCACTGGTGCCTTTGGTGGAGCTCCCTGTGGGGCCACGAAGCGCATGAGGAGTGTGCCGAAATAGACACATGTGATCACAGCCAGTGAGGCTTTCGGTGGAGCTCCCTCTGGAGCCACGAAGCGCTGCACTGGGCGACGCGGACGCATGTGATCACAGCCACTGGGGCCTTCGGTGGAGCTCCCAGCGGGGCCACGAAACGCCGTCCTGGGTGGCGCCATGCACACCCGGGCTCCGAGCGCAGCGTGGAACGATTCGGAACGTTTACAGGATTCGCTGCAGTCCACACAGTGGGACGCAGCAGTCGATCAGCACACGCAGACATTATGAATGTGTTTGCCTTCTGTGCCTTTTCCTTCCCCTCCCTCCCTCCGTCCTTCCCTCCCTCCGCCCCTCCCCCAGAATGCTGCGCAGGTTTCCCTCGCACTTCGCTGGTACAAAGGAGACAACGATTTCACCGAGGCACTGTGCAGCTGTTAGTTTGCATGTTCGTGCACGCCTCCCCACATGCATGTATATTCCGGATTGCCGAATATTTCGCCGATGCGCCGTCTAGGCGCGGCCTTTCCAAGCCCAGTCCACCGGGGCCGTCGGTGGAGCCCCCGAAGGGGCCACGGAACCCCGCACTGGGTGGCGCGGGGCGCATGTGGTCACAACCATGGTGGCCTTCGGTGGAGCTCCCTATGGGGCTGCGGAATGCCGTACTGCGTGGCGCGGGGCGCATGTGGTCCCAGCCATGGGGGCCTTCGGTGGAGCTCCTCATGGGGCAACGAGGCGCTGCACTGGGTGCGCCGATCCAGTAGACGTGCAGAAGGCAGAAGCAAGGGTGCGAGGAGTGGCGAGGAGGGGCGAGGAGGAGGAGGAGGAGGAGGAGGAGGAGGAGGAGGAGGGGGAGGAGGAGGACGACGGAGGACGAGGACGAGGACGAGACGACGAGGACGAGGACGAGGACGAGGAGAGGAGGAGGAGGAGGAGGAGGAGGAGGAGGAGGAGGGGGGGAGGAGGACGACGAGGACGAGGACGAGACGAGGAACGAGGAGGACGAGGACGAGGACGAGGAGGAGGGAGGAGGGAGGAGGAGGAGGAGGAGGAGGGGGGAGGAGAGGAGGAAGGAGGAGGAGGAGGGAGGAGGAGGAGGAGGAGGGGAAGAAGGAGGAACGCGGGGCACCGTCTCTTCAAAGCGAGGACCCAACACCGCAGGATGGCTGGGGGACAGCGACGCCGACAGGAGCAAGACACGCGCAGGCCGAGAGAGCTGGCGGGGCCGAGAGCTGGCAGGAGCCCGAGGCCCGAGAGGGCGAGCCTTGCGCTCCTCTGGGGCTGCGGCTCGGCCCGCGGCGGCCCGAGCACGCTCCCGATGGCGCTGGGAGAGTGCCTGGGCCGCTGGGGCAACGCTGGGGGAGGAGGAGGAGGAGGAGGAGGCAGGAGGAGGGAGGGAGGAGGAGAGGAGGAGGAGGGGAGGAGGAGAGGAGCAGGAGGAGGAGCAGGAGAGGGAGAGGAGGAGGGAGGAGGGGAGAGAAGCGGAGCAGGAGCAGGAGCAGGAGGAAGGAGGCAGGAGCAGGAGCAGGAGGAGCAGGAGGGGAGGAGGGAGGAGGAGAGAAGGAGGAGGAGCAGGAGGAGGAGGAGGAGGAAACAGCTGCAGCAACTCGGGGGGGCAGCGCTGGGGGAGGGGGGATCGTCGAAGGAGAAAAACCGCCATAAACGTACACTTTCGGCGCCCCGCGCGGGTTTCTTGGATCCGCGCCGGGCCCCCCCCCGGCGGCGCCTCCGGCGCCGCCCGTGGCGCGCGCCGCGCGCCAGGGAAGGGGGTCCAGCGCAGATCCAAGAAGTCCGCGCGGAGCGCCTCAAGTGTATGTTTATGGCGCTTCCCTTCCCCTAGCTAGGCTCCACGGGGGGACGCATCGACCCCCGATCGCCCGCTCATCGGCGATGGGGGGCCTGCGAGGGCGACGCCCAGGGACACCCCGAGGCGCCCAGCGCCGCCAGCGGGCCGCAGCGGCAGGGCCGCGGGGCACCGGCATCGTCGCCGCGGCTGGCTGGGCCGACCATGGCCCCGCTCGCGGTCGCCTTGGCCGACCACGACGACGACGACGCTTTGGGGGCGCCGGCGACGCCGACGTCATCGACGGCGACAGCGACGATGTCGACGACGACGGCAACGACGTCGACGACGACGGCGGCGACGACGCCAAGGCTCGCGCGGGGGCACGTGCGGCGCGCCATGCGTCGCTCGAACGAGCTCTGCGCCGGGGCGCCGTGCGGCACCCCGTCTGCCGCACGGCGCGCTCTGGAAGACCTCGCGGTGGATGCCCTCTTCGGTGCCGCGAGCGCTCCCTGCTCCCCTGAGGCTCAGCGAGCGAAGAACGGTATAAAATAAACTGTTTCGCCGTCGGGGACACCTGCCCCTGGGCGGCTGGAAAGTTGATACCCCCACGGTGCCACCGTAAGGGTATAAACTTTCCAGCCGCCTAGGGGCAGGTGTCCCCGACGGCGAACAAGTTCTTTTTATACCGTTCTTCGCTCGCTACGAGGCGCAGGCCCTGCAGGCGGCGGACCTTCCCGACCTCAGCGCAAGCCTCCTTCTCTTCTTGCCCAAGAAGGCCGGAGGCACCACGGAGGAGCGGGAGCCGCTCTTCGATCCTGGAGGGGTGCGGCCGTTGTCCACCACCAACGCGGACAGCCGCCGCATGGCGAGCGCCATGCGGTTCTTGGTGGAGCCGTCGCTGGAACCGCTTGTCGCGAGCTCGCAGCGCGGCTTCCTTCAGGGACGCCCCACTCAGCAACATCAACGACAACGACGAGTGCATGATGATCATGGCGGGCTTGGAGTCGGACGGGGGGGGGCTTGCCTTCTTGCTCGACTTCGCGTCGGCTTCCCCATCCGTGGCGCAGCAGGTCCTGCTGGAATGTTTCCGCAGCCTGGGTTGGCCCGAGCGGCTCCTTTCCGTCATCTCGAGCCTCTACCGCGAGAACACGTGCGAGATCTGCATTGGTGGCGCCCGTTTTCCTGGCTTCCACCTGGCGCGGCATCAGGCAGGGGTGCCTTCTTTCCCCGCTGCTTTTCGCGGCGTGCTCCGACCTCCTGTTGCGAAAGCTGGCCAGGGACTCCCCGCGCTCTGTTCAGATGACGTTCGCCGAAGACTTTGCCATGGTACTGGCGCGGGCGGGGCCAGAGCTGGGAAGGTTGCAGATCGTATTCGACGAGTTCGCGCTCCTGTCTGAGCTCGCCTTGAACGTGTCCACGACCGTGGTCGTCCCAACACACGCGCTCGATCAGGATCGGGTGCGAGCCCTCTTGTCTTCTACAGCCCCGGGCTGGGCCAACGTGCTGATCGCGGACGCGGCCAAGTACCTTCAGGAGGAAAAGAAACACACAGACTCACTTAATCCTCGATTCCTTCGAAAATATGGGAAAATATGGGAAGTGGGGGGGAAGACAAAACCCAGAAAATATAGGAAAATATGGGGAATCTTTTTATTTGTGTGTATTTATTTGTGTGTCCTGGGGCCCCTTCATACCTGGAAATCGACCTCGGGCCAGGGAAGAGGACACGGCCCTGGGACGAGCCCACGGCCAAGTTTTTCGCTCGCGCTGCCCAGTGGGGGCGGGGCGCGCCGGTGCTGGTGTGCTGCTGACGGTGCAGGCGTGGGCGGCATACGTCGCATCGTTCGGTCAGTTGGAGCCTCCGCCCGCTGACATCCTGGATTACGAAGTCCGCGCCTACCGGAAACGGTTCCCAGGGCCACGGGATTGGGCGCCCATGAACGTGCTCATGGACATGAGGGGCCTCGGGGTTCCGCTCGAGCTCCTCGACACTTGTCCTCGACGACGGTTGCGGCGCAGGCCAGGGTAACCAAGTGGGAGGCAGGCGGCAAGCTTGCAGATGAGGGAGCGGAGCGCGCCAACCTGCACACCCACGCGAGCCATTCCGATGAAGCCTTTCTCACACGCGCCGGCTGGCTGCGCAAATGGACCAATGAGTCCACTAGTTCCGCCCTGGCCGCTGCTGCGTCCGAGGTGCGCGCCGTGCGGGACAGGGTGGCGGCGTCGCACCCTCGTCAGCGCCAGAGGGCGGGGTGGAAGAAGCATGCCGCGGCCCAGCCTCGCCTTGCACGCTTCGGCGCGGCAGGGGCAGTTGCGCTCCCCGCGCTGGCCCGCAGCCTGGCGCGATGGCCCGTGCAGCTGTTCCCTCGCCAGCCTCCTGCCGCCGCTCTTCGCGTGCTGCGAGTCGCGGGAGAGAAGCGTCAGCCGCGCGTCTGGGCCGCCGCTGTGCGCCTCTGCTGCCACGGCTGGTGCACGAGTGCGCGATTTGGCGGCGATGGCCCCGGCCGCTCTGGCTGCCGCGCAGGTCGGGGCGGCCTTCGTCACCTAGCCTTCTGCCCGGTCGTGCGTGGCCTCTGTGGCGCCGCCCCTCCGCCAGCGGCGCTCGCCTTGGACTGGTTCCTGAAACTGGGAGCTCTGAGGCCAGATCCAGGTGCCAGTGTGCAGAGGGCCCTCCATGCTTACAGCATATACTGGGTGCGCGGTGCGCGTCGGCATGGGCACTTGGAGGTCACAGACGTCGCGGGCGCATCTCGCGAACACGTGCGCGAAGGAGTCCTGGACACGGGGCGCCCACTGGCAGACGGTGTGGCTAATTACGCATGCTCGCTAGTCTCCGCTTTCCCCCCTTCCCGTCCCTTCTGCATGTTCGGATTGCGAAGTAGTTCGTTGTGATTCGCATGTGTACCAAGTCTTTGTGAGGCTCTCCCTCACTAGGCGCCGCCCCTTGGGCTCGGCCTGGGCGTTTGTCTTCTCTTCCTCTTCTCTTCCTCCCCCGCGCTCCCTTCCTCCAGTCGGCTGTTGCGGTGTATGTTGATTGTGGCCGCTTGGGCTACAGGGACTTGCACGCAGCACGTGCCCATCCCGGCTGATACCCTCTAACTGGAAATTCGTATCAGTGGGCCGGTGGATTTTTCTTTTTTCTGCTTCCTCCTCCTCATCATCATCTTGCTCTGGCGAATAACTGCCCGAGTTTCCGCCCCGAGTTTCGGTCGCGTTCGCAGAGCATGCGCTCTGCTGGAAACCTTGGTTTTTGGCTCTAGGCGGCATCCCGGCCAGCGCCGTTACGACACACAGCGCAAGTTTCACACTCGCGGTGCTGTCATCGATTCTTAACTCACCACTGCCATTGTTGCAGTGGAAAAAATAGCATCGTCGCCGCGGCTGGGTTCGCCCCAAAAGTTTTTGGTCAGGGGCACCCCTGGAGAGGCCTGTGGGCAGCGGCATCTGCATGTTCGTCGAGCGTCGACGGGCCCGCTTCGGCGGACAGCAAGGACGACGATCCCCAGCAGGACGTAAAAGCCGAGCGCCGACGGGCGCGCTGCGGACAGCAAGGGCGGAACTCCCCAGCAGGGCGTATTCGCCGAACGCCGACGGGCGCGCTGCGGCGTCCTCAGGGGTTGGCTGCCCAGAGCGAGGCAGGCGACGCCGGACAGCAAGGGCGGCGATCCCCAGCAGGGCGTACTCGCCGAGAGCCGACGGGACGGCGATCAGGCGAGGAGGGGGGGTCCACCGGGTCCGGGGCAGGGCGCTGGTCGGCTCTGGCACGATCGGCGAGAAGGCTAGCACGAGGTGGGTCGGTTAGCAACCCTGGCCTCTCACGGATATGGTCGCCCACGCTGAACTCATTGGCCTGGCCTTGACCATCACTTCGGCCACCCCCCACACACACACTCACACACTTACACACTTACACACACACACACACGCACTCACACGCACACGCACTGGTTGCGGCCAACTATCACGACATGTATTTCGCTATGCGTTAGCAGACCGTGTTCGCACACACACACACACATACATACATACATACATACATACATACATACATACATACATACATACATACATACATACATACATACATACATATATATATATATATATTATCCGACATCAGCCCTATGCGAACTCGTCTTGGCGGGCGGTTAATGCTCATCCTTGCCCTCCTCATGTTCCTCTGGCTCGTAAGGATGCGCAGAACACCACGGCGATGCTCACTACCTTCCAGGAGGTTGACATGACCGAGATCATGAACCTTCGAAAAGAATACAAGGACTGGTCTGTCTGATCGGGGCCGACCGAACAGTCAAAGTGAAGCGGAGGAGGACAGGCTGGAATGGTCTTTCGTGAATGGCGCCGAATCGCATTCCGGCAACATTTGTTTCTTGGTTCTCGTTGGGCAATCGTGCAACGAATTGGTTGTTTCAGCAAGTGCGGCTAATGTAGCTCAGCGAAACGTATCGAGTATTAGCGCAATCGAGTGCATTGTAGCGTGGCGCAGGGATATGCATCATGTATGCGATTGTGCGTGAGCGGGTGATTGTGCGCGTGTGATGCACATGTGCGGCTTTTTATTCGCAACCGGGAAGCCACTGCCACTTGATTGCATCAGCACGCCAGCGAATGACACGTGCGTGCTGTACGTATCGATTTCTCGCTGGCCAGAAGGACAAGCTATCAACAAACACACATGCACACTGTTTTCCACGAGGCCCTGGGGATATACTGGATAAGGAGAGGAATCATAAAATCGGGGAAATATGGAAAATGTGAGAATCTTGGAATTCGCGTCGAATTAGTTGTGTCTCCCTGGGCCCATGTAGGTGTGTGGTTCATTCAGATACTGCGCGCAGCTCACTTTCTGCATCCACCTTCGAGGATGTCGGTGACTCGTGCGAGCGTTGGGCCAGAGAAGGCCGGAGAACGTTCGCCAAAACGTTCTGGCCACAGCCTGGAGAGGGAGGAGGCTAAAGAGGGTGACAAGGCATTGGTGGGAAGTGAACAGACGGCTGGTCAGGATGGGCCAGATGCGTACAGTCGGGGCCCTGAAGAAGGAACCCTCTTCGTTGGGGAGGGGCTCCGCGTTCCTTAAGTGTTTCACAGCTAGCCTCAGGTTTTCTTTATGTTTTCGACAGGAAATCGAAGGTTAACTTATGGAAAAAAGGGGCCTCGAGCTCAAACTTGCGATCGCTGGGCAACGGTTTGGCGACCGAATGCCCCACACTCCCTTTATTCCCAACCCTCCTGCGTTGGGTTCTCGTTTTGAACAGAGCAGTGCGGTCGCGTCTCCTCCTTCTCCTCCTCCTTCCCGCCTCGTTCCTCCTTTCCTCTTCCCCCCTGCATCTCACCTTGCTCGTCGCCGCGTGTCAGCTTGCCTCCTGCCTGGTCATCCCTGTGCGGGGCTGCGATCTGCGAAACTGTCGCCACTTTCGAGGGCTGCTGGGGGGCCCAGCGGAGTGGGGTCATACTCAGACCCAGATTAGACCTCGCCATCCCTGGGGGGGCTGCGATCTGTGAAACTGTCGCCACTTTCGAGGGCTGCTGGTGGGTCCAGCGGAGCGAGGCACCACGGGGATTCAGATTAGACCTCGCCATTTGTGGGGGCTGCGATCTGTGAAACTGTCGCCACTTTCGAGGGCTGCTGGTGGGTCCAGCGGAGCGAGGCACCACGGGGATTCAGATTAGACCTCGCCATTTCTGGGGGCTGCGATCTGTGAAACTGTCGCCACTTTCGAGGGCTGCTGGTGGGTCCAGCGGAGTGAGGCACCACGGGGATTCAGATTAGACCTCGCCATCTCTGGGGTGGCTGCGACCTGTGAAACTGTCGCCACTTTCGAGGGCTGCTGGTGGGTCCAGCGGAGTGAGGCACCACGGGGACTCAGATTAGACCTCGCCATCTGTGGGGGCTGGGGGGCTGCGATCTGCGAAATTGTTGCCACTTTTGAGGGCTGTTGGTGGGTCCAGCGGAGTGAGGCACCATGGGGATTCAGATTAGACCTCGCCATCTCTGGGGGGGGCTGCGATCTCTGAAACTGTCGCCACTTTCGAGGGCTGCTGGTGGGTCCGGCGGAGTAAGGCACCACGGGGATTCAGATTAGACCTCGCCATCTGTGGGGGGCTGCGATCTCTGAAACTGTCGCCACTTTCGAGGGCTGCTGGTGGGTCCAGCGGAGTAAGGCACCACGGGGATTCAGATTAGACCTCGCCATCTGTGGGGTGGCTGCGATCTGTGAAACTGTCGCCACTTTCGAGGGCTGCTGGTGGGTCCAGCGGAGTGAGGCACCACGGGGATTCAGATTAGACCTCGCCATCCCTGGGGGCTGGGGGGCTGCGATATGTGAAACTGTCGCCACTTTTGAGGGCTGCTGGTGGGTCCAGTGGAGTGAGGCACCACGGGGATTCAGATTAGACACCGCCATCTCTGGGGGGGGGGGCTGTGATCTGTGGAACTGTCGCCACTTTCGAGGGCTGCTGGTGGGTCCAGCGGAGTAAGGCACCACGGGAATTCAGATTAGACCTCGCCATCTGTGGGGGGCTGCGGTCTGTGAAACTGTCGCCACTTTCGAGGGCTGCTGGTGGGTCCAGCGGAGTGAGGCACCACGGGGATTCAGATTAGACCTCGCCATCTGTGGGGGCTGCGATCTGTGAAACTATCGCCACTTTCGAGGGCTGCTGGTGGGCCCAGCGGAGTGAGGCACCACGGGGACTCAGATTAGACCTCGCCATCCCTGGGGGGCTGCGATCTGTGATGTCAAACCGTCGCCACTTTCGAGGGCTGCTGGGGGGCCCAGCGGAGTGAGGCCCCACGGGGACTCAGATTAGACCTCGCCATCTCTGGGGGGCTGCGATCTGCGAAATTGTCGCCACTTCCGAGGGCTGCTGGGGTGTCCAGCGGAGTGAGGCACCACGGGGACTCAGATTAGACCTCGCCATCGCTGGGGGGGGCTGCGATTTGCGAAATTGTCGCCAGTTTCGAGGGCTGCTGGGGGGGGGGCAGCGGAATGGGGTACTCAGATTCGAACTCGCCATTCCTGGGGGACTGCGATTTGCGAAACCGTCGCCACTTTCGATGGCTGCTGGGGGTCCAGCGGAGTGGGTCCTACGCAGACTCAGGCTCGATTTCGCCATCCCCGAAGGGCTGCGATCTGCGAAACTGTCGTCACTTTCGAGGGCTGCTGGTGGGTCCAGCGGAGTGGGGGCATATTCGGATTCAGATTAGACCTCGCCATCCTTGGAGGGGCTGCGATCTGCGAAACTGTCACCACTTTCGAGGGCTGCTGGGTGGCCCAGCGGAGTGACGTCATACGCGAGCCTGGGGCTTCAATCCTCGTTCTTTCGATCGTCGTCATGTGAGCCGTGCAATGCGTGTGCATCCCATGTAGTTTGCACAGCAATTCACATCGCCTACATTATCGTTGTTCCTGCTAATGTTGGCCTACCCCTCTTGCCACTTTATGCACGTGGGTTGGGTACGTCGCAGGGTAATTTT